TCTGCATGTCAAGCTCGACCGCACAAAGTCAGGGCTCCATAAAAAGCTCACCGGCGGCGCGGACGCGCTCGCGTTTTGATGACGTCATTTTGACGTCATGGCGGCGGCGAGGAAACGAGCAAAAGCAGCGCTGCCGCCAATACTTCAATACATTACGTACTGCGAGGGTTTATCGTACTATAACTTCACTGTGTAGTAAGGAATGGTGTAATTAGGAATCGAAATCGAAGAACGGACTCGTGGTAATCAACTTCAGCTTGATTGTGCACTCCTAATGGTTTTCACTGAAGTCATGTCCTACAAATGGACCAATACACATCGAAAATTCTTAATCTCTTAAGGCAGCGATTACGATAAAGAGGGAGCGCATCGGGAAGCATGTGCACCACACGAATCAGTTACTTGGCTGCCAGGGAAGCGAGATGTGGCGCTTTCACGACGAAAGGTGCGCTGGTTGCTGAGCAGGACTTCGAAAGCGCTCCGCCCCAAAAGCGATCCGCCCACTAGTTTACTTGGTGATTTGGACGAGCTGCGTTGCCAGCAGCGGCACAACTGGAGCATCTCGATTGGAGCGTGGTTTGGCATGGTGCCACCAAACGCGTTGCGGTGAACTCGTTCATACGTCCGCTTTCTGAGCTGTTACCTGTTCATGAGTGAAAACCAACGGCCAAAAAAGGGGTCCCGTTTTGCGTTTTCTTGACGGATTTTTCTGCTTTTTTTCGCCACTGGCGTACCATTGAGCACCACCACGTCACACTAACCCTTCTTGAATTTATCGTAATTACTGGATTTAAGGAAGAATTTTCCGATTTCTGCATTGATGCGAATCTCATCGATGCTGTCCTCTTCAACTATAACGCTTTGTCTGCTAAACGGCTAGAGGCAACGGCCTGAGGGTGGGCGTGCTGAGGCGCGAGTGGCGGTGGTATAACCCTGCTAGGCTGCTGGCATGCTCTTCGCTGCGAAGCATGCATCATCCCGCACCCTTAGGGGGTCCCGCCTGCCTTTCGACTTAATATATCTCCCTTTCTTCGGCCTCCGTCTTCATGTTGAAGCTTCTTTTGATCGCGGATCCACTTCTTTCGAGCTCGGATCCAAGTGGTACGCTGCGCCTCTAGCAGTTGATTACCTTCGACCATAGGTTTACACAAAAAAGGGGGCAGAGGGAGAACGGGCAAAACGTTTGTGATGCATCGATAAAGACAAATGACCAACCTCAAGAATGGCCTTGTTCCCATTATTTTCTACCTCTACACTGCCCACATCGCATAAATCGATGTAACCACGACATTCCAGATCGTGTTCAGACTCGTAGTAATACATCTGAAAGTGGCAACAATTTCCCCCAGAAACGCATGTTGAAGTGACACTAAAAAAGAAACTAGCAACTAGAGAGAAGTTGGAAACAGAACCAAACGACCACTTCTTCGTCACGGTTATACGGTGACCTCCAGACAAGAAACGACGAATAAAATCTTACTTTCAGGCAAGTTCATTCCATTAAAACACACCTTATGACTATTGGCTTCGAGCTCAAACCAACGCGGTGCCCACAGCTTGAACTTTGCACCTTTCTTGCTCAGATAGCCTTGATGTAGAGGAGCTGCCGCACGTGATGGTGTTGTGGTTCCGTGACCGATTGTTAGTGTTCGGCGCCATTTCCTAAAGACCACATTCAAGAACCTGAGCCAATCTAACCAACGGGTTAGCGCTTTCCTTGCTCTTATGAGCGAAAGTAATCAGAGGCATTATCTGAGGGCACAAATTACACTACATTTTAATTCGGAACTGATTACTACCTTCAAAATCGTTACCTTCAGCTAAGTCACTAAGCAGAGTCTCACTACGTGCCACCGTCCCCTGCCCTTCAACTGTTGCTGTTCGCACTGGGGTTGGTGGCAAAGACGCCTCATGAGTGGTCGGACGAGTAGATGTTGCACGTGGATCACACGGCCAGAGATTAACTATACATTTATCATGAGCTATAACGCCACACTGACGACATCGTTGACCTGAAACATGTGTTCACTTCTCACTACTGTGGATATGAAGATTTACCAAATCCGTAAAAGTTCAAAGTTACAATACATAAATGGATGCCCATGACTAGCGCTACCGTGGTGAAAACTGAGATTCACAGTAATCGACACTTCATTGAAAACGAAACAAATATAGGAATATACGTGGAAGACGGGGATTTTTTCTCAAGTCAATAGTTCCGCACGTTCGGGAATATTTCAAAGAGTCTACGAACCAGAAGTGTCCGATATAAAGTACTTTAGCTTTGGACGACCCTTGTGGAAACTTTGTGTCAGAGGAGATACCACAGGACTACTTAACACTTTATATTCGCTTGGCCGAAAGAAACCAGCAATATTACTAAAATCCGAATAAGTCGAACCACCGACCGTCTAGCACAGGAAAACTGACCATAAGTAAGAGACTACCCAGTCAACCAAATAGCCAGTGCTTACGACAATATTAATTAGGGAAACATCAGCATTTACTAGGAAACCTTCGCAAAGCAAATCTATGTTTGAGGATTCTGTCGGGCTCCGGCAAAATCTCAAACTATCCAAGATTACCGGCAAAAATTTAAATTTGAAATTTTCACTCAAAACATAGACGTGACCAAGACAACTATTTGCCAAACGCCTTACCTGTTCGCACAACAGTTCCATACAGGGGAAAATGACAAAGCCCACATTCGGATGGCTGTCCACCACTGGCACCGTAGTGTTCAAAAACATGATTCTTGCTGACACTGAAACCAATAATGATGTACCTCCAAACTTCGAAGGAAAAAATGATAACGAATACAAATGGTCCGAGAGTATACGAACAAGAAGCTTATATCCCGTTATGCCGGTATATGCGTAGCAGCAAATTCCGTTGAAATAGTAACAACATTATTACTTAGGCAATCACTTTGACTAAGCTGGGACTGGAACAGGGATCTCGTGTTTGCAGGCACCAACTATTACACTATACAGGCCACATTTCACACTATCTTAGTTTCAATCCTGAATTTACCGTATTTTATCAGCACTCACACGTATAACATGATCAGTCCTAGCCGACATCGACTGTAAACCATGAAGCCAACAGCTTCAGCAAATTTGCAGGTTTTTATTGTTGGGTTGGGCAACCGCTTCAAAGCAGTTTGTGATGCAAATGCTTTGCCCCGCCGATTTCACGACCTCAGGAAGCATACATTTTGCCTACAACTTCAGCATCCTTGGGACATGCATATGAACTTCGTAGCACGAAGTGCGGGAAAAGCAGCAGTGAGCAAAACAAACAGATAAAAATCTGGGTTAACACACGCTTTCTAGGCACAATACTATATAGGAATTATGCAAAATTTCAGTTAAAAAAGGAAGATGATTCGAGATGAGTGGGTTCAAAACGTACTTTTTCTGACTCGCCGCCGATCGGCTCGATATCCCTCGGAGCAATACACGAAGCGCCGCTCTTTTCAGAAGTACCCGTCTCACCTGCCAGTCCCAGTCATGAGCTTTCTCTTCTTTATCGTCTTGCTAAACGAACAACCTTTTGCAATTATTGTGCAAAGCCAATACACAAGTTTCTCACGTCCTCGTCATCCGTCGACATTCGTTCTTCTGCAGTCTGCCATGTGTTCAGCCATCCGCCTGCACGTGGTTTCTCGAGAGGATTCAAGCGATCGTTCGTCTGCAGTTCGGTAGAGAGCTTTATTAAACTATGATTTAAAAAAATTGTTTCTTACCTGGATTAAGAAGGTAATTCCATCTTCTCTCTTCAGATCCTGACATACTATTGTGCCGTCGACTATACGAGATGAAGTGCCACCTGTAGTTACACCTTCGGAATGAGAAAAGTGTTCATCATCGCGTTCTACCAGCTCCGCTTCGGCGAGGTCTGAAAGAAACCCTGCATGTTGAAAAATGAACTCCGTTTTTGATAGATGTTGTTAGCGATCAGCCTCACTAGCCCAGCAAACCACTACGGCCACAGACTGTTCGCTGTATTGTAACACATTTATACAAACATGCAATACAAACATCTACCTACCAATATCATATGGTGAGCCGTGACTAGCGTTTCTTCTGAGTAGAATGTCCACGTTTGAAGGGCCGCGATTGAACAAGCAGGAATCAGAACCCGTTCACCTTCAGGCGAATACAGAAGGTTATGGAATATTGTGCTCCTACACGTTTTCTCCTGAAGATGTTAACATTGCAGACTCGGAACATTTTTCATGATTACACCTTACCTTGATGTACATCCAGATGCATCCCCGATGCCCTTCCCCAGTCTCCGGAACAAGATGCTCGAGATGCACACGTTCACTTTCGCAATCCATCACAAAAGTACGAAAGAACGCTGACTGACTATGGTAAGCTAGGAATCGCAGGTAAAAGTCGTTGAATTCGAATGCACCATGAAACTGAGCCAACAACTGGAAAATGGTTTGATGCAGATTAAGGATTTTTGCAAAGTGATAGCGCCCAGCTTCCATACCTGATGTACTGCATCCAAAAACAGAAGGAAAACCGGTGTTATACCGCTATTCTGCGAAGAAATCGTATGATTTGCACGGTGAGAGAAACGATGACCGAATGCTAACCATTCTTTTTCTATGAGTACCTAAACCACTAAAGAATATTGAACTGGGAGGAATACTCCTGAATAGAAAACAAAGGCCAACTACTCAAGAATTTCGTACTTGGAAGCCTTCTATCGTACGATAATATGGGTCGAGCAGGAGTTGCGCCAATGACATCAGCTGACATGTGGTATCCCAACCCTCTTCAATACAAAGAGGCAACCTAAAGAATGACTGCTATTCCAAATAGCTTTCAAAGAAAAAAAAAACGAAGTTGGAGGTGTGCTCAAGGAAGAACGAAAAAAGAAAAATTGTGGAATTATGAAGAAAAATTACTGAAGAATTGTGAAGGGTGACGACACTAGCAATCGAAGACGCTAACGAAAGCAGGTTTGACACCTGAAACAATACCAAAGTATAGTTTGAATCCGATACTTATGAACAGCACTAGAATGTGCCTCAAGGATGCAATTTCATCCTAAAAGCACTTTTCACCACGATAGAGTACGTACAAATCAATCTCTAGCATAGGTCCGAGGCACTGGCTCTCGCAAAAATGAAATGTAAGACACCCTACTTTTTTCAGATCCTACCAACAGTAAAACAAAAACTGTAAGGCGGAAAGATAAGTTACGTACAATGTGAAGCCATTCCGATTCTTCGAGGGATCGATAGAAAGTAACTGATGTCGAATCCATGAACGGTACACTTGGACGCATGACACGAAGTAGCTTTTTGAACGAAACCTTCATCTGATGCGTGGTGGGAAATGTGATCGGCACGAATTCGATGTTCTTGTCGCCACGGAAAATCTGAAC